CTAACATTAAAATGCCTATGTATTTACATTTTTGAGGCCTGTTCTTGAATGTAACCTTTTCAGTCTGCAATGCTACTTCTTATGATAAAAGAGTTCAGTTTAGGCTCTATTAATGGAAAATGCAATTTAATAAGCCTCAAGCCCTTGGCAGCATAAAATTACATGATAGCATAAAACATGCAAAGGAAAGAGTTAATATGACAATATCCATTCCAATGTCTTTCCCATTAAGGATAAGATATGCATATTTACCGTGGGATCAGAGAAGGGTGAAAGGAATGAAGGACTGTGGCAAGGGTTGGAGGAACATGGCTGTACTTGTGTTCCAGTTTTCTCAGCAGGCTGGTTCTATTCATCCAGATGTTGCTCACCAGATGCCAGGAGCTTCAATACTGTGCTAGCATTAAAGCATCCCCATCTCTTCTGTACACAACATTGTGCTTGGCTACTCTCATGTGAGCCAGTGTGTACCATCAGCTCTTCTATATATTCATGGTTTACATCTATGTGCTCACACGTGAACTAATTTGATTTCTATCAACTAATAAGCTACTTGAGTGTAATAGAAGTATCTTAGAAAAGAATAACTTTAGCTCCTAAAGAAATTTAAAGCGTTATTTTATCAGTGGGAACCTATTATGGATAGATAGACCAAAACACAGCCAGTAAACTAGTATATTAGTTACTTGTGTCATGGCTGTGACAAAAGGCCTGGCTAAAGCAACTTAAGGAAGGTATGTTTTGTTTTGGTTTACAGTTTCTGGATATGGTCCCTCATAGTAGAGAAGGTATGATTACAGGAATACAACATTAGTGGATAGCAATGTATCTGCTGTCTGGAATCAGACAGCAATGAATTCCTGTGCTCAGCTCCCCTTTCTTCTCTTTACCCAACACTGGACCATAGCCAATGGAACAGTATTACCCACAGGCAGGGTGGATCTTCCCACCTCCATAAAGCAAGCTACAAATTCCCTTGCAGAGATGTCTCTCCTACACGATCCTAAATTCTGTCAAGTTGTCAATCAGTTTCAGCCCTCACAACTGGTTCTGGAAATATTTTTATTTTTATTTTTATTTATTTATTTATTTGCTGGGAGACATCTGTCTACATCCCTCTAGCTACAACTCATAGTTTCTTAGATACCATGATGACAGAATGGAATACAGAGAAAGCTTATGAGACTAATTATCTGGCTGGATGTTCAAGCCCATAATTTATATAAGATTCTTGACAGAAACTTTGTGATTTCTGCTATACATGGAACAGGTGAATCTACAAATATGTGTTCACACACCAGTTTCTCTCACCCAGCCAAGTTCAGTATTAAAGTTCTTTTACAACAGAAGGCAGATGCATAGTTTCTTTAGCATCATGAAGTCATTTTCATTGTTGGTATGCTCTCATTGCCACAGCTAATGAGTTAAACTGGGATTTCTATTTTAAAAAAAGCTGCACACAGCTCGACTCACACCTTTGTTTTCAGCTTTCACTGTCTTCTGTGAAGACATCTGGGAATTTAAATTTAAACAAAGTCATTTTAAAGACAACCCAAAAGGAATCTTAATTGCAGGCTATTCTTCTGCAGAAATGGATACTTCATTTAGTTAAGTGACAAAGTTTTAAAAAGAAAAAAAAAACAACCTCATGTTTTCTTAACATTTTTCACTAAGTCTCATTGTTTCACAAATGTTCACTAAAGTTGAGTTTTTGATTAGAAAGAATGTATTCAAAATAAAAGAACAGAAAAAGTTACTTGAATTTCAGAATAGTAAGCTGAATCAGTGGGGAGTTTCCAGGTCTGATTTGGGTTTCAAATGGGACCTTAATAAATCAGGAGGAAGCCCATGGCTTTTCTCATTTGCTGCTTCCATTGCCAGTGATCAGTGTGATAGGGCAGCATGTTGTTCAGAGCCCACATGCCTTGAGCTTTCTAACCTTCCAACAGGCAAACAGTCAACATAAAAAAAAATCACCCTGCCTTGTCTAATACATGCAAAGACAAGTTTTGGGGTTGTTTGTCTGCAAATCAGTGTCCTACTGTCTCAGGCTATTGACAGTTCATAAGCCATCCAGAGGTCAAGACAGCTCTGCTCACCAGAGAGCAATGCTTTAATTGCATAGTGATGCCTGGGATGACATAAAGAGTTTGTAAGGATCTAAATACTAAACAACAAATCATTTTTTCAGCCATATGACATGCCTTGACATTTGCTTATTTTTTTTGTTTGTACCTTTGCTGTTTTGAATCTTGCTGAACCTTTGCATGGTACTAGCAGGAACTCTGAATCAAGCATACTACTGGTTAAGACACTGCATTCTGTTCCTTTAAATAAGTAGGAAGTAATATGTTAAAGGATATACAGAGAAGAGAAGAAGTGAAAGCTTACTCTGAGGTACTTGAAACAGAATAGAAAAACATATCTTGAGAATTAGGAAGTTAAATGAACAACACACTTAGCACATTTTTCTTTCCTTTATCAAAGCTTTTCTAAGACAGGGTAAATTTATTGCCTTAAGCAAAGGCAGATATATGCCACTGGGGGAAAAAGACTACTTTTGAATAAGGAAAAGTAAGTCTGCCTGTGACTCAGTAATTTAGATGGTTTTCAGATTAAAATGTAGAAATAGATGCATTTTAGATAAAGTACCATTAACTTTTATCATGTGACTTTTTTGGAGTCTGTATTTTGAAGAAACTTGAAAGGAATTATTCATGGATTGACCCTTGGTAGGTCTCCCCAGTATTTTTCCCCTCCATAGATGATTCCTGAGCACATTGATCAGGGACACATAGAATGTGCTGCTGAGAGTAATTTTTCCCAGATTTTTTATTTAAATCAGAAACAAGCAAAAAAAAGAAAGAAAGAAAGAGGGAGAGAGAGAGAGAGAGAGAGAGAGAGAGAGAGAGAGAGAGAGAGAGAAAGAAAGAAAGAAAGAAAGAAAGAAAGAAAGAAAGAAAGAAAGGAAGGAAGGAAAAAGAAACTACATGTCAATCCAAGTTCCCTCTCCCACCCCTACTCCCCTGTCTCCCACTAGACCCCTATCCTATCCCCTTTCTGGTCTCCAGGTAGATGAGGCTGTCCATTGGGGATCTTCAAAGTTTGTCATATCATTTGGAGCAGGGCCAAGGACCTCCCCTGTATGTCTAGGCTCTATGTGGAATGGGCTCCCAAAGTCCATTCATATACTAGGGATAAATACTGATCTACTACCAGGGGCCCCATAAATTTCAGAGGCCTCCTAACTGACACCCATGTTCAGGGCTCTGGATCAGTCCTATGCTCGTTTCTTAGATATCAGTCTGGGGTCCATGAGCTCCCATTTGTTCAGGTCAGCTGTTTCTGTGGCTTTCACCAGCCTGGTCTGTACCCCTTTGCTCATCACTCCTATCTCTCTACAACTGGATTCCAAGAGTTCAGTTCAAAGTTTAGCTGTGGGTGTCTGCTTCTGCTTCCATCAGCTACTGGATGAAGGCTCTAGGATGGCATATAAGGTAGTCATCAGTCTCATTATCAGAGAAGGGAGTTTAAGGTAGCCTCTCCTCTATTGCTTAGATTTTTAGTTGGTATCATAATTGTAGATCTCTGGACATTTCCCTAGTGACAGATTTCTCTTCAAACCTATAGTGGCTCCCTCTATTATGGTGTCTCTTTTCTTGTTCTCCTCTATTCTTCCCCTGACTCAACCTTCCTGCTCCCTCATGTCCTCCTCTCCCCCTTTCCCCTTCTCTTTCTCCTAACTCCTTCTCTCCTCCCCGCCCCCGTGCTCCCAATTAGCTCAGGAGATCTCCCTTCCCCTTTCTCTGGTAGACCACGTATGTCTCTCTTAGGGTGCTCCTTGTTTCCTAGCTCCTTTGGTGCTGTGGATTGTAGACTGGTGATCCTTTGCTCTATGTCTAAAATCCATATATGAGTGAGTCCATACTATATTTGTCTTTTTGTGACTGGGTTTCCTGACTCTGGGTGGTTTCTTCCAGTTCAATTCATTTGCCTGCAAATTTCAAGATTCCGTTGTTTTGTTCTGCTAAGTAGTACTCCATTGTGTAAATGTACCACATTTTCTCTGTCCATTCTTCAGTTGAGGGGCATCTAGGATGTGATTCCAGGTTCTGGCTATTACAAATAAAGCTGCTATGAACATCATTGAACAGATGTCCTTGTTGTATGAATGTGCATATTTTGGGTATATGCCTAGGAGTGGACTTGCTGGATCTTGTGGTAGACTGATTGCCATTTTTCTGAGGAATCTCCATACTGATTTCCAGAGTGGCTGTAAGAGTTAGCACTCCCACCAGCAGTGGAGGAGTGTTCCTCTTTCTCCACATCCTCTCCAGCATAAACTGGCCTTGGTGTTTTTGATTTTAGTCATTCTGACATGAGTAAGATTGTATCTCAGAGTTGTTTTGATTTTCATTTCCCTGATGGCTAAGGATGTTGAGCAATTTCTTAAGTGTCTATTAGCCATTTTAGACTGCTCTATTGAGAATTCTCTTTCTAGTTCTGTTTTTGCAGACCTTTAAAAATATTACTCAACTTTATATGGAAAAACAAAAGACCCAGCATAGCCAAAACAACACTGTACAATAAAGGAATTTCCAGAAGCATCACCATCCCTGACTTCAAACTCTATTTTAGAGCTGTAGTCCTGAAAACAGCTTGGTATTAGCACAAAAATAGACAGGTAAACCAATGAAATAGAATTGAAAACCCTGATATTAAACCACACACCTATGAACACTTGATTTTTGACAAAGAAGCTAAAATTATACAATGGAAAAAAGAATGCATCTTCAGCAATTGGTGCTGGCATAACTGGATGTTGGCATGTAGAAGACTGCAGATAGATCCATTCCATTGCCATGCAAAAAACTTAAGTCTAAATGTATCAAAGACTTCAACATAAATCCAGCTGCTGAGAGTCTGAAGGAATCCAATTTCCATGCTCACTTTCTTTTAATTTTAGGAGTATACATGGTATCCTGCAAAATATTCAACACCTGTTGATCTGGGAATTCTCAATAGCTCCTGATCTGGGGGAGAGTCTGCAAGGAGGCATTCTATTGTCTTTAAGACGTCCTCAATTAAAAATGTCATGAAGGTTGCATGCATCTCCCAGACATATTTTGTTTCCCTGGTAAGCTTCATATTCTGGGATGAGATGTCTGCACAGTACATAATTGGTATCCTTTAAAACCTGAAGCCCACATAACCTTAAGTTTCTTTTACTCAGTCATAAGGGAGTTTGTGGACTCAAATCTGAGTTCAGGTTGGCATGTGCATTTTTTTTTTTTTTGGTTTTTTTGAGACAGGGTTTCTCTGTGTAGCTTTGGAGCCTATTCTGGCACTCGTTCTGGAGACCACACTGGCCTCGAACTCACAGGCCTGTGCATTTAAACAACATAATTGTTGACACTATGAAGAGGATGCAGTTAAGCAAAAGGTATCCACATGCACAGGTTACATAGTTACTCAATCTTTGCACATGAAAACAATATTTTATTGTGGTTTGGGAAGGACATTGAAAGATTTACTGGGAATATAAAAAAGATGCAATGGCCTGTCTTTATTAAACTCATAAGAAAGAGAACAATCAGGCTTCTATTAATACCTAAATTACACTGAATAAATAATTCAACATGTAATGATGAGCTATATAATACTTAGACTTATTCCAGCGGGTCATATAAATAAGCATTCCAAATTCACAAATCCAGAGTATAATTCCACATAAGGCTTGACGTAAATAAGGGATAACTGTTTTTGCTTGCCTAAGTTTCTGAGGGACCTCAAATAATTCATGTGCCACTCCAAGTCAGTAGCATATTCAGAAATTTTAATCGTAGTCACCACAGTGATTTCAGAATTCCAAGTTTGTCAGTTCCTGAGGCCAGGGAGGTGGGGAATGACTCATTTTTTTAAATTCAGATAGTGAGATCATGCAGCAACTTCCCAATAGCCCACTTGCACCTGGAAGACTGTGCCTGTGACTTGGCATTTCTCTATTCCTGGTACCCTGGCTGTGCTCAGCATTATGAGCACCCCCCAGCTAAAAATATTAGTCAGTCACTCCACCATGACAACATTGTTTTCCCTCTCCATTCTCATTAAATTTTCCAGGGAGAGAAGTCCTGGCTTTATCTCATAGTGCAGTGGAATGAGACATGGGGACAGCAGCTACAGACTGAAGATCACATTATCTTTACAGCATCACATAGATGCAGTAAAAATAGTTGTACCCATAAAGAAGAAAATGGGAAAATTTCAATGGTAAGTATCTCACCCCTTAGAGTTCTCTTTAGTGTGTAAATGTGTGCATGTGAGTGTGAGTGCTTATGCTTCTGTGTATTCATGTTCACGTGTGTGTGTGTGTGTGTGTGTGTGTGTGTGTGTGTGTGTTTTGAAGACTACAGTGTTACGATAAATCTTTCTGCCATAAGCTGCCGAGCCCCACTGCCACGTGTGCGATTTACGCACCCGCCTGAGTTAGGGCCCAAATGAACACACAGAAACTTGTATTAGGTTCAAAACTGCTTGGCCAATGACTAGGACTTCTCATCTGCTAATTCAGTCTTAATTATAAATCTATATAATCTTATCTTATCGGACGCCTTATTGGCGTCCCTCCTTGCCAGTGGATCACATCGTGCCGCTGAAGCAGGAGCGGAGGGGGACAAAAAGGGCCACTTCCTGTTTCCTCGCTTAGATATGAGTCTCCTTGCTGTGTCACTTCCTGTCTGGAGTATCACTTCTCTACTACATTTTCCAGAATCCTCTTTGACTCCTAGTCCTGCCTAACTTGCGGTTTCATTGGCTAAGCAGAACTTAATTAAAAAATCAATAAGATAAACGTACACAGAAATACTTCCCCCATCACTATAGTGTTATTATTTAGGCACTATCCTCTTTGTTTCTAAAACAGGGACACCAATTGGCTAAACTCATCAAATAAGAACCATAGGGAGCTACTCAACACCAGCTCCCTAATTCTAGGAGTGAAATAACACACCACTGATACAATTCTGATCCTCGTGTTTCCTAGGCAAGTCGTTTAATCACTGAGACATCTCACCTAATTCTACCTCTGTCCCTCAAATGTAAGTCATAGAGCTTGTTGGCACAAGGAGACCCATCACTCTGACAAATGTTAGGCATGTTCACCTAGCTATGTTACTAGTCATATTAATATGGGAACATAGGGCACCTGCAAAGGATTTGAGGTTCCTTGGGACTGTGCTCCTGACTGAGAACTGATTGTGGGTTTGCTCACCATTGCCAACAGGGTAATGACGAAGTAAATGGGCTCACTTTATACCAAGTGGAGACTGAACAGTAGTTTTGTTCTCGTGGGCTATAGAAAAAACACGCATCACTGATCCCTCAAGGATTAATTTCTCATGATAAATGTAATTGTCTAAAATAACAGTGGTGAAACCAATCATTATAAACTCCAAAGTACAGAGAATAGAGTGGGTGGGCACTGACTATTTTAAAAGGAGAAAAGCAAGCAAAAGGAGTGGCAAAGGGTACCCTGCAGCAGAAAGTGAATGCTGTTCTCTAATGGCCCATGAAGATCCTGTCTCAGCAGGAGGAAGGTCACAGTCAAGAGGCTCTTCACATGCAGTATGCCAGTGATAAAATCACTAAGTGCACCTGGAATTTTAAAATGTCACATTCTACAAATGTAGAAAATTAGGCTGGGTTTGGCTGAAATTTAAATATTAAGCTCTGGGGCTTTCTGTGGGTTTGGTAGAAAAATGGCAAATTTTCTTCCAGGTAAGGGTTTGTATCTTTAATTGTATATGATAATAAAAAGCAATTATTCTTTTCATTCAATCTCTCATCTATGATCCTCATACTGTTGATCTGCTTCTGAATAACTGCTGTTGCCATAATGACTTAAGCCTTTTGTAAAATTGCTTCTGAATCTACAGTAGAAAATTACTTTTTTTCTGAATGCTGCATTGTATTTCAGACGACCAAAATGACATCCACAGAAAGGGCTATAGGTCATAGCTTAATCAGTACTTGCATTATACAAACAAGTATAGAGAAGTAAAGCCTTCCAGGGAGGGTTTCTATGTTTCTGATTGCCTGCTCTCTCACTGCCAGTAGCCGATGACACACACATAGCCGATGAAACAGAGAAGATAGGACTATGTCCAGAATACATGATACAAGGACTCTGGTGAGCATGTGTGGGATGTGCAAAGAGGGGGCCAGCAGTTTGCACTTTGATTGGATGATTATTTCCTAAGTTAGGCGAATGGTCATTGAAATGAATAGAAGTCCAAAATCACACAAGTGAAAGAGGAGGTAAGTGCAGCCAGCAAGACTGGTGGGACAAGAGTGGAGACTGCCAAGAATCCTGAAGAGATTGGTACTGTGATCCAGAGAGAAGTCAAGAAAGCTAAGCACCCCCAGGGTTGACTGCACTGTATTAGAGCAGACCACGCACACCAGCACTGTGTGTGCCCCTGCTCTCCTCAGGTTCAGACAGCTTGCAGCCCTAGGCCTGTCTGGTCATGAGTGCCTAAACTCATTTGGGAAATCCACATTTCACATTCTGCACTTCTGGGCTGGCGCTCCTCCATGCTTTTTCTTTCCCTCAATTATGAGTTGGCCAGTTTTACACTTAGACCAAAATCTAACTTGTTTGTATTTCTGCCCTTTCTAAGCTACTTCTGCGTTGTTATCTCCACCTGGGGTTGCAGGTCTGACTTTGAGCAGAGTCACAGCAATGATCGACAGATGAGTCCTTCCTCTCTACACACATCAAAGCCCAGGGCTTGGTACAAAGCTGGGCATGCATCAGGGGAAAGACACAAACTGTACTGGGAAAAAGCAGTCTTACGACTGCTGAGTTAAACTGGGAAAAATAATGAGAAGTTTTCTAAATTGGAGCTTAAATTAAGATGCCTAATGAGGAGTAGCAGTTTTGTTTCAGTCATTCGTTCAATTAATTTTAATTGGTCACCTACTAAGTCCCAGGCAGCAGGATAAATACTGAGGATATGTATAATAGATGAAAATAGCTAAGGAGGTAAATAATTGAAATTAAACCAAAATGTGTTATACAGAATAAAAATCCATACCTAATTTGAAAAGTTGGATGCTGGATTTTTGTGTAAGTTTTCTTTTTCCTCCACGATGCTTTAGAATACAAGCCGACCATCAAACATCTTCATTTTCTCACTTTCCTCACCCAGCTGCATTTTTCAACTCATATTTTCTGGAGAAATTTCTCAGTTACCTGTCTCCATACCTATGCCACGCAAGGTGGGCCCACATTGGAGACATGGTAACTGTCTGTTTCTACATGAACTCCTTTTGACAGTGTCATTAAGTCATAGCCAAATTGTAAGTCCATTCACACAATACAGTTGCATCTTTCATCTGGGCTGGGTTCTAATAGCCAAAGGATACACTGCGCATGGGCATCATCCTTGACATTCTATACAAATACACATTCAGAAGGCGATGTGCTTAGCACACAGACAAATCCACCTTTCTTTCCTACAATTCTTCTAGTTCATTCTTTCTTCCCTTTCCTTCCCTTATCCTCTTCCTCCCTATTCTTCCTCTCTCCATTTCCCTCTCTGCCTGCTCTTTCTATCCTTTGTTTTCTTCTTTTTCTTTCGTAAACGTCACAGTCTTTTCCTGTCTACCTAAAAGGCACTATTGTTACTAGCCCTCCTCTGGATATTTAAGCAGCATACTTTGGAAATTGGAAAGACACCCTATGGGCATTTATTCCCTCCCTTGAGGTATACTTGCAAAGAAGTTTCCAGACCTACTTGCCTTTGCAGCTTGGGATTCCCTTATGGAGCAGAGTGGGCTATTGCTAGGAGTGGGATGCAGAGTGAGATTCTCTCTATTTCTTAAGACACAAATGTATTTTATCCTGTGTCTTCCAGTGGGTGGGCATACAGTTAAATTCACTTAGGTTCATGGAACCCACACACTAACTCCCCAATGAATTCTTGTTTCAAATCTTTCATAAATTTATTCAGCCTGTACTGTTCTTTATCTTTTACCAGAATCATGATAGTTTATGAAAAAGTTCAACCATTGTATCAACCATTTGATCTCTTAAAAAGACAGAATTTGTATTGCCTTGGTGTGTGTATATGTACGTTTGTGTTATTGCATGTGCGGTGCACATGTGTGCTTGCCTGTATGTGAGTACACATGTGTGTGCAGGTGATTCTTGCATGTCAAGGACAATGGTTACACTGAGCATATTCTTTGACTAATTTTTGTCTTCTACATTGGTGCGGGATCTCACATTTGAACCCAAAGCTTCCTCATTTGGATAATCTAGCTAGCCACCTTGCTCTGAGGATCCCCTGTCTCTGTATTCCATGTGCTGGGATTATGTGCAGGCAGCCACACTTACCAGGTACTTACATGGGTGCTGGGCTCCTTAACGCTGATTTCCACATTTGTGAAATAAGCCCTTTGTATATTAAGTCATCTCACCAGTCCCAAGTTTGTATTTCTTTTTTTTTCAAAGGAATATTATTGCACAGAAGTCTCTGCCTCCCTTGAAAGAACTACAAAGTGTTCTAAGTAGGAAGCCAAATGAAATTAATTAGTATGCATAATGTTTTCTGGTTTTTTATTCCATGTTTTTTGTAGGGTATATTTTAAATTTGTTCTCTTTTCCTGTTTGGGCAAGAAAGTAAGATAATTACAGATTGTACTGTAGGATTGTGTGAAAGACAAGTTGGAACAGAATATGGAAAGAACTTTTTCTTTCCTCCAAGGTAGACCTCTTGTACATTGTTAGATGTTTTATATATATATAAAATCAGGTAAAGTGGCAACGGTACAAAAGTAGACAAGATACTTGCAATGATTGAAGAGAGTTAAGTTGATTTATTGCATGGCCTTATAGATACTTTTACAAGCCTATCATGGTGCCTTGACCATACATGAAACAGATCCCATGGAAGGGCAATGCAGAGAATCTTTGTAGGGATTCCTAATTGTTTTGCCTTATTGGTTTATTTTTGAATATTAGGTTTCTGCGTAATGCAACAAAAAGCAAGTGAGAAAAGTTAAAACAAAAAAGCTTTACTCTTAAAATAAAAGAAACACATAATTTTAGCTGGTCTAGAATTGAAATCATCTCCTGTATCTCCTATTCAAAATGATTTGTGTTAGAACTGGATATAAAATTGACTTACAGTAGGAATATTATAAATCATGGGATAGAATTACTCTTATAAATAAGAGATATTGCCCCACCAATTAGTTATGAATCATAACCATTGCCTCTACTCACTGAAATTCCCAGCAAACTTCATTTCTGAATTCCCTGTAGGCACCTTCAGAAACTGTGTGATGACAAACTTTGTTAGTTTTAACACTTATTCTGCACTGTGCAAAGTGAATTGTCAATGGGAAAAGTTTAAATAGTTGAGGTAGTTCATTGTATTCCATATGCTCCTTTCAGATGAAATTAATGGAAAATAGTGTAGTTGAAAATAATAATCACTGCAGACTTTAATTTCTTATAGATTGAATCTAAAATGGACACTTCTGTGTCTAAGACAAATTTGCAATTTGCTTGATATTTTTAAAATATATAACAATGCTACTTTCTTTGAATCCCTTAGAAGACACACTACAGTGATTGTTATGCAAATAACTCAAAGTGTGTAATAACATAATTTTCTGATTAGAAAATGAGATTTCTGTTTTTTTTTTTTTTCTTCCCTATTCACAGAGCAATGGGTGACTGTACTTTTGGGGACAAAATGTTACATACATAAGAATAAAGAGTCTCACATCCTTTTGTTGCAGGTGAGCTTTAGTAGAAGCAAATAAATATTCTAATCACTTAAAAAGTCAATAAGGTCAATATTTTTGAGACTAAAAATTAGATGCGCAAGTTACATCATAGACTGAAATATACCTCTGTGAATGAAAGGTGCATATGTGATGTTTTATCATTTACAGAAAAATATGAAAGATATTAATGAATTTGAAGACCAGAGAATTTTCCTTCTGAGCACTGAACACATAAATAAAGTTTCAGTCAACTTTAAAGAATTATGCACGAAAATAAAACAAACATATATAGAGACAATAAAAAAATTAAAGTCTCAAAATAAGAAAAAGAATGAATCCATCAGATTCTATCAATGATACGCAAAATTACCTTTCACAACCAATGGGATCTTGCTGTCAAGTTACTGAGTGCTCATGCCTTTTTTTTTTTTTTTTTTTTGCTTTTAAGTGGGAATTCTATGTAAAGAAGTATGCATTCTTTTTTTCTTACATAAGAGAGTTTTTCCTGCTTTCAGACACGTGCAAACATATGCAAAAGCTATTCTTTTCTCTCCCACTTTCCAGGTTTAATGAGCCATGAGAGCTGTGTTTCTGTTACATTGATCATGTTAACTTCACCACAGGTAAGCATGCATTCCCAAATGCAAAATGTGCCACTGTGTACCCATTCACTCTTATACTCCACTTTTAAAGGGAAAACTAGCATTTACTTTTAATGGTATTTTATTAAACTTCAGGAGAAAGTGTTGTTTGTTAGGCAAAGAAAAGAAAGAAATAATGTTTCAAAGCAAGCATATAAGCACAGAGCCTCTTCCTACCCATGTAGCAATCCAAGAAAAATGAAATAAGACTTAGTTTTGTATGGATATTTTACATTTCAAGTTGTGTGGCATTATCTTAGCTATACTACATAAAACAAAATCTGCAGAATGATTCCCTTACTATTGAGTATTACTTACAAGCCCCTTTCTTCTCAATAACATAGCAGTGATAATTGTAAATGTTAGAAATGTGGGGCTTTGGATACCTTAAAAACAAATATAAAATTACTTCAGCCTTCACAACATTCCCCAAGTATGTTTTCATTTAACTTTAGTCCAAATGGTTGCTTGGTCATGTCTGTCCAGATGCTGAAATTCCATTATCATTTGGAAGGTTCAGATCTGCTGCTAAAGTTTTTTTTTTTTTTTTACCACTTTTCTTTGTGTCTTCATTTAACTTTTACTGTGTCAGTTTCCTAGGGAATGGTGGTTTTAATAATAGTTCTAGTATTGCTTATTCATTCAGCAACACTTATATTGCTACAAGTACTGAGCAAAACAGGTGAAGTAAAATTAAGAGCACGATATCTCCATGTTAAACAGGTCGATGGTCACTTTATGAAGCATGAGTAATAACGGTTAAGATAAAAAATAATTGTATTCAGAGTGACTGTAATCTGTGATCACATATACCAAAGGCATTGCTGATGCTCAATCAACATTGTGTAATTTGTAATCTTCATTAAAGATCTATGCACTATTTATTATCACCTACTTTCTAGCACAGAAAAATAATAGTGAGCTGTGATTGAATGAATGCCAAGTGCCAGGATTTTATGCAGAACTTTACATGTATTACTGTGCTCTAACTAATTCACAATGCTATGAGATAGTATTTCTATTATCTTTCCATTAAATTTTATAGCAATTAACTTAAACTACCCCCATTTACACAGCTAGAGATAAGGACACATGCGATTGCAAAGCCCATGCTCTGCCTGCAATGCTATGATGAGTCAAGCTCTTAGATTAATACTGACTTTCTCTGATCTACACCATCCAGAACAATGAACGTTCTTACAAGACCTTCCAAAAGTGCTGTTTCCTTACTAATTGCAATCAATTGCTCAGATCTAAAGTAAAACTGATGTGCATGATGTCTTATTCTACCTAAATAGTGTCTTACTTGAGGTCAGACTATAAAACAGGAATGTCTGCATCTGTTCACCTACTTCTAGAAAATAAAAATCTTAAAACATGACCAAGACCAGCTCTCCTCTGAGGACTCTGTAAGATAGAATAGACTCATGTGCTTACATTTCCTTTGAAAAACTGGAGTGAGAATAAACATTTGTCAGGGATTCTGAAGCCTATACTTAAGATAGTATAAGTATAGTATAAGTATAAGATAGATCCATAGAATATTTTTTCCATCTGTGCTCTTCCAAATGCCCTATAGACGTGGTAAATGGGAGAATTTTCTGGGTGAATACAAAATTTAGATTTACTTGGAATGAAAGATTATTACTTCTTTCATTATTTTTTCATTCATCATTTTAAAGAAAACCAATATATATTATCCTTCTGATAATAGAATTAGTCAAGTAAAACAAGGAGGAATTGAATATTAAATATAGAAACAATGTTCAAATGTAAGTATTGATATGTTGGGCCTCACAATCTAGGAGGGATCAAGGCCTCATTCCCCAAAAACTAGAAGTTACTCTCAACACTATGATGGCAAGGCCCTGTTGCTAAAGATCACACACACACACACACACACACACACACACACACACACACTGTATGTGAGGAAATTGAGGTGGTACCTACATAGAGTCTTTACCCCAACTTGTTATCATCTTCTTTGATACTGGAAGATGATACCAAGGGAGAAAAGTAAACACCATCTCAGGCACAAAACCTTTGATCTCATGTGGGGATAGCAGAGGGAGGCACATGGAGCTGAATCTCTGTGAATTTGAGGCTAGCCTGGTCTACAAAGCTACATAGAGAAATCCTTTCTCAAAAAACCAAAAATAATCAGTAAATAATCTAATATATTAAAAACTTTGATCTATGATGGTATCCTGCCTGCCATGGTAGCATAACACTTGATGGAGTTTATTAAGGAGAGATGGAAAGCAAGTAGATATGGATATAAGGGATGGTGACAGGAACTTGAGGAGCAGAGGGAAGGCAAACCATATTTAGGATATATTCTGTGAGACAATAATCTGTTCTTAATAGATGGAAAAAATAAAGTCTTGAAAAGAGACAATGACTGACATTGGAAAATGATAATAATTAACACACCGATGAGTTGCAACTGTTGTAAATATATATATATGACCACAATGGAGTTTCTAAGTATATAAAGTGAATTATAATGGATCAGAAGGGAGGGGAATTGCATTATAATTATAGTAGAACTTAAATGTCGTATTTTAAGAAATGGGTGAATCATCCTAACAGGAAATCAGTTAGTAAACATTGACTTAACTAGCACTCTAGATCAATTGTAGTCAACTGACATACAAAATTTCCCATCCATAATCAAAGAATACAATCATTTTAAATGTACATTAAATACTTTTCAGGTTAGATGTCATGTTAGGCAGTGAAACAAGCATTAGCAATTTAAAAATGAATGAAATCATATCACACACTTTACCTGAAGTAAAAATGTATACATAGATAAATATATGTGCATACATATATGATATAGTATTATAATATAAATGATTGTTAACACTATGGACCAAATGATACAAAATACAGTAAAAGTACCTTTACAAGGAAACTTTATCATAGTGAAGTACATCCAAAGAAACCCTTAAATTTTAAACTAACATATCACATATCAAAGCAATTTTAATATTAGTAGAAGGAAGAAAATAATAATTATCAGAGCAGAAGTGAATGAAATAGAACAGAAACCATAGAAAACAGAAGTCAACAAATTAATGATCTGTTTTTCTGAAAAGAAGAACAAAGTGAATCAACTTTTAACTTCACTAAGAAAAAGTTCCAAATAATAAGTCATAAGTAAATAAGTAACTGATGCTAGAGAATTATCCAGATCCTAAGAAACTACAAAAATGACCCTGTATCATCCCATTTGGTAATCTAAAAGAAGTGGATAAGCTCCTTAACAAAAGCAACCGATCAAAAAGATCAAAAATGAAATCAGGAAGAAACACAAATTTATAATTAACCAATTAATTATTAAGGAGAATGAGCCATTAATTAAAGGCATGTTATCAAAGAGAAGCCAAGGGCCAGATGGTTTCCCTGCTGAACTCCTTCAAATATTTCCAGGACTAACCCAAGTTCTTCAAATTAACTAATTTCACTCATTTATGAAATGATCGTCATTCTAATTCTAAGTTCAGAAACTGGAAAAATACAATTCCATATTTATGATAAACACATATGTAAAACTTCTCTACTAGCAAACCCTATTCAAGAGCACATTACATACACCATTCATGATCAAGGAAGATTCATCCCTGAGATGCAAGGATGGCCAACATATGTCAATCAAAAAATGTCATACATCACATTAACAAAATGATATTTTACAGTATCTGATCATTTCAATAGATGCAGGTAAACCTTCAAGATTCCAGTACTTCAACTTAAAAACTACTATAATAAATAAAAATGAACTCCATAAACTACAGGGTATAAAATCAGGTGTTGGATACCTATTTACTATGAATTGAAACATGTCCTCATAGAGGAAAGAGAGGGTCCTTAGGTTCAGGAAGTAAACCAACATACAAGGCTTAGGAACAAAATGAAACTTAATGGGTTCAGGAAGATCCTGAAATTGCAAGACTCATGCCATAACCTCAGGGTTAACTTAACCATTAACAATTGCTGGGAAGGTGAAACTTCACAATTGACTAAACTTCCTACATGTCGTGCTGGGAGCCTCAGGGGTATGGCTCTCATGAGTTGTAACCCATGCAGGAGTGGGCTTTTCTGTGATACAGATACTTTCCAGACATCTTACTTCTGTTAGAAAGCCCTCACTGATACTCCTGTAATCATGTCTTCCATCTGTTCTTGGTGCCTTAACTGGGATGAGTACATATTTGCATACCTCTCCAAAGGAAAATCACACAATATTAGGGTAGGAAAAATCTAGTATTTATATAAACAATAAAAAGAAGACAAATTTGAAATCAAGGCTCAAAAACCTAATTTATAAAAACTGTACAAAATCTGAGAATAGCTTTAACCAATATGTGAAATAATTCTATGGTAAAAGTTATGCACCACATTACTTTTATTTCTGTTTTTCCTTCCTGTGGAACCAGAACTTCAGCATTTCTGGCTACCTCAGAATCAACCCTAGTGCTACAGCCATCATTGCATACTAGACTATTAAATTTCTTGTTACCATCTTGCCTTACTGCATTGTATACAAACTAAACATTCTAAACATGAGTTGGATCATCCCACTCCCTAGAGAAAAATATGCAAATAACAGAATAAAATAAATATCCAAATGTCTCTGGGCCATATACAGAATAAAAAAATAATTCCACAATAACTTGGGAAGCAATATGTGGTCTCCAAACCCAAGTCTCACTTCTCTTATTTTACAGTTATGTTGCTCTCTTGATGATCACACCACACAAATTCTTACGATCTCCTGACCCAGGATGCATCAATTCATCATTTCAGTGACTGACATTCAAAGCCGTCTTAGACAGCTAACAGAGACTCTGGACATGATAAGCACAGATTCTTTGCAATACATTTCCAAAACTCACTGACAGAGAATTAGGATAGGAAGATTACTGTTTGGAACTTAAAATGCTTGATTATTGGCAATACCTCCTGGCAAC